GGCGAAGCTCCACGCAGACCAGAAACGAGGGCCATGGAGAGACTTTACGGAAGGCGACCAGGTTTGGTAAAAGGGCTCCGCCCGGACGACGACAAATGGTTGTTGGGTACAATTGCTCAGCGGTGCAGCGCCTGACGCAACTTTTGCAACACTCGCTGCAGCCACAGATTCACGAGCAGCTGACGAAAGGAAGTCTGCTAGAGAAAATGAGGCAATAAAAAAAAAATGGAGGCTGTCACATCATCATCATAACATCATGATAAAGTGAGGGAAGAAAGGAGAGTTGCCATGGGGTCACTTTTGAAGGTGTCAATAGCGCGTGCACGCAAATTTTACAATTTGTGTAAAATACCTTTCAAGGTGTTCTGGCTGCATGATATGCACATGTTCGCGGGAATGAATCCCACAGGCTATCTCGGCTGCTAAATTTTGTGTCTGTACCCTTTAACTTCTTGCCCGACCATTGACGAGTGTAGTCGAGATTTTCTAACAGTGACCGATGACCACTATAGCCATCGGTCATTTAATTTGTTTGAAAATTTCGTGACAACTCCCAAGAATTAGGCGTGACCGAAATAATGCTCACTATACTTGCCACATTTTTGTTTGTTGACGCTAGATTGCCGCACATCTAAGACATTTGTGTCCCAGCTTTAATTTATTGCTTTTTTTCATTCTATTGTCTCTCAGTGAAGCCACCTTTCATCATTTTCCACACAATTAGTGAATCAATGCTATTGAATTGAAAGACTGGTACCTTCATTTACAAATAAAAAATCTTTACAAATTGAGCAAACTTTTTTTTCAATGATCCTTGCAAGTTTGTTTTTTCTGTTGTGAAAGGGTTAAATTGACGGCCATCCACTTAGTAATTACCGCCTCACCCTACTTCTTTGTACCACTTGCTCAAACAGTGAATGTCGGTACTGATTCATGTCTTGATAATAGGCTACAAGCGACCACGCAGCCTCGTTATTAAGAGGGATGAGGGTCTTAAAAAGTTTATTTGTTCTATTGTCATGACAATTGCCATGCATGTGTATCACTGAACGGAGATTTAAAATGTGGAAGCAGATTTCAAATATCTCGCTTAGAAAAGAAGTAATGACAAATTTTCACAATATAATTTGGTAATTTCTTATGGGTGATTATAGTAACTTGCAATAAAAAATTAGTTTTCGAAACTTCATAGTTCCTCTACAAGGTTCATTCCACAAACTAAAGCGAACTAGACTTTAAAACGACTATTCAGAAATCGGGAATTCAGGAACAGGAATAATATTTAAACATGGAAGGTTAAAATGACCTTCCAGTAATCGGCTGCTTTTTATCATATGGTTACATTTTCATCAAGGTTGAGAGAGAAAGAAAAGCTTTCACTTGCAGCTCAAGTGCTGTGGAAAAGAGTGGAGCCAAGTTTGTTTAGATATCTTCACAGAAACTTTCGCAAAACTTCCGTAAGGCAGATCCACTCCAAATAACAATGCCAAAAAAGTTAGGTTTCAAGTTTTAAAAACATTTGTAATTTCGTCTATCAAGCTTTTACCAAAAAGAAATGGTTTTCTGCCATAATAGAAAATTTCGCCAAAACAGAATTTGGACTATAAATACCACAAATCGCAATTTCCGAAAGTCCAAGTTTGTCATGGCCCTGCAACACTTTTTGAGCATGATCGGGAAACGCTGCTGATCGGTGGTAGAGACTCCCGAGAATACTCAAGCATAATATTATAGCGCAGCACACAGCACCTGGAATTCACATAAATTCTCAGTCAGCTAAAGATCCCTTTCTTCTCTCTAGAGTTGATAAAAGAAGCTAAAAATCACTTGTCAAACCTGTTCTACCATCATTGGTCTAATTGAACCGGGCATGTTCTGTCGTTGCAGAGATCGTTGTCGGAGGCCAAAACTTGTCCACGCGTGCGCATGCGATTGCACTTAAAAAGCTGCGTATTCGGGAGAGAAAAAAGTGCTCTAGGTCAGGGCTTGTGTGACTTGGGTATTTTCTTTACTCGTGTCATGTCTCCCTGCTTAGCTTCCAGCGCTTTCGTCGGGAGGAGAGAAGAGAGCATGCAATTGCAACGTGCATCAAATCTTTGCAACTCCGCTCGTACTGGACGGATTGATTCTAAAAATCTTTGCGGTGATGTTTTTGTGAGACAATAAGCTTTTTTAATAAACTCCTTAGATGGCTACTTGAAAAGTGTTGCAGGGACCCTTTATTAATCGATTCTCTGTTTAGCACGCTCCTGTTCTTTCAAAATTTTACACTTTATCGGTCACACCTATGCTTGTTTCCACTATTCTACATCTTTTTCACACAGGATTTTACGAAGACTTGACGTACAGAATGCGGAAATGCAAATATTTTACTGTACTCTTTAGAGTGTGCATTGTAGCAGTGGTGCGCGCTGTGGACACTTGCGACTGCTAACTACTGCAGTGGCGTCTTGTCCACGTTTACGTTGGCGCAGGCGTCCCAAGAGTGGCACTCCTTCTGGAGCACGTCCGCGGTCACTGGGCGTCACTCTGAGCTCCGACTTGGAACGCATGCTGGAGGAAGCAGCGGTGGTGCCGTCCAAAGCTTCAGGCATTCAAGAGGTGGATGTTGACGCCATTCTGGCGGAACCGTCCGTTCAGCTGCCTCCCCGCAGGCAAGCCCACTTATCGAACCCCTTGCATTTTTTTGTCGTTGCATCCTGGATCTTTCGCATTTGTCACCAGGCTGGCATTGCCATCTTGTTCTCTGTTACTGTAAAAGCTCAATAATTCGGGTTTCATGGAACTGGAAGAAACTGTCCAAGTACATCATTGGTGAATTGTCTACGCGATAAGGAACCAAAAAAAAGCATACTAAATCAATACACTTTCATTTTCTTGAGGATTATCTTCAACTCTTAAAGTTCATGATAACAAAGTTACATGTTTCATGAAAATAAATTCGTTATATCGGGAAATTCGTTCCTAAAAGTATATTCCTACTGCTGTATCTATTTTAATACTGTTCTTCATTTGCTTCGTTATAGTAACATTTACTTCGTTTTAATGACCAATATTTCATTATGTTCTGGCTTGTTACCGAGGTTTGAGTGTATATCTAGCACCTATTTTGAAAATTAGTTATGTAGGCTGTAATTTTCTTCATTTGCAACATCACAATGATACCTTACTCTTGAGCCGAAATGTGCTCTGAATTCATGCCTTATTACGTATCAGTAATGGGATCATATACTCCTTTCAGAAAGCCTGCAGCTGTTTCAGTTGTCTGGAATGCTGTTTTTGTTCCTTTGCGTCTCACAATCGCAGTGCTTTGCAGGTGGAGAATGCACGTCGACACGTGTTTATGTGACGCATGTTTATCTCTGCTCTAGCTCGGCTGCAGTTTTTATCAGGACAGGCGTGAGCGGGGACCACGGTGTTAAAGCCAGGCGATGGATGCGTGCCTCGCAGCGTTACTTTTAGTATGAATGAATGCTACAAGTGTGGCTGAGGCTTGGGTTAAGGTGCCAACATCTAGGCGTGTCGGAGCGTTGACAAAAATGCACTTCTTGCATTAGAAATGCGGCCGAATGGGATAGGTGCGCAGCAATGGTGCATTGCAAGAGTTAATCACTTAGGCCACGGTCATGATGCATTGCTTCACTTTGCCACTACCAGAGGCCATGACACCCCGTCAAAAAAGAGCACTGTCGGAGAAAAGTGGTGTATATAAAAGATGCGATTATAAAGCTTCTGCAGTGTGTGACCATGGCACCATGAATAGCGTGCCTGGAATCTGTTGTGACTGAAGGAGAGATTGTGGGTACGACTCCTGCTGATAGAACTTTTTCTTTTCATCATTTCCGGGACAGAAGTAAGTCGCTGCAGCCTTACGGGCATAAAACACTTTCGTGTTAAAAAAATATATATAAAATTTCTTCACCTTTTCATAAACGCCTCCCTGGGCGCCGCCATAGCCCTCCTTGGGCTGTGCAAATTGGCGCGTCCCCTCGAAAATGCACTGACAACGCTGCGTCCTTAGCCTTTTTACACCCGCGCACAGCCCATCATGGCAGTGGGACAGTCTTTTTCACTTCTTATTGGAGATGGCTTTCTGGTTGTCGCAAGAATATGTTTCACATTGTTTCTATTTTGGAGAAATCCTTCAGGCTCCTGCAGTTTTGTCGAGAGTTGTAGAGATTTTAGTTCCATTTGGTGATAATTCTTTTTAATGACAATGTACCAAACCAACCAATTAAGAACTTTTAGTTCAATTTGTAAATTTTTAAGTTGGGGAGATTTTACTGTACAACGTTCTACTAAAAGATTTAAACACTGACCTATTTACACAGCAGGCTCAGTAGCTCATTAGCGCAGACTGTGCTGACAAGTTTTTCGTATTGTGTACTAGTATGAAAGAGTGGGCTGTAATATTGATGCAATATGTCCAGTCTTCACTGCGAGCTGATTCTTGTAGCTTTAGAGATCTAAGCCCACTCGCTCATTCAGTTACCCTGCTCTCTATGCATATGTAGATGTGCATTCTAAAGTTCAGCAAAAAGATTGTTTGATATAGTAAATGCACCTTGCTCTGAGCAGTAGCTTAATAGTGTTTCTTAATCCTATATGAAATATGGGTGCACTGTACAGTGTGTAGCTTGCTTGGTGGCTGTGTGGGGACCGGAAAGAATGCATGGACGACACGAGTGCAATATTCCCGATACTAAAGGAACCCACACAAAGGGGGGAGAGAATGCATGACAGCATGAAGAATTGTGCCTCTGTTCGACAGGATAAAGTGGGACCGGATGAGTATGTTTTGGGCTTTGTGCTTTCTCCTGAAGTTTTTTGTTCTTGCTAAATAAATTCTAATTGAAATTATTCATTTAATATGTTTGCGCTAGTATATATTGACTTTGCTCTTCTCAGCCTTTGCAGATGTTGCATTGCTGTGGTTGTTTCACTTCACAAGTGCCCTCAACTCTTCCTCAATTCGCTCGTTCTTTTACAGATGTCTCAAGAAAAGTGCCAGCCCCCCCAGCCATACCCGCAGGCTGCCCCTCGACACTGATTCCCTGGGCCTCATATCGCGGTTGTCGTCGCAGGAGATTCCCGTTGTGCTCGAAGGATTGGCAGAGGTACGCTGCATGTAACATTGCTCATCAAAGTGCTTTGTTCCCGCTATTGATAACAACAGTAGTTCTCAGATTAAAAAAAAAAAACTACTCTGCCTGAAATAAGCCTGTTAACAGTTCCCCAGCTAACATTGATTGCCTTTCGATGAAGTGACCTCTACTGTACAGAGGGCATACATGTATCAAGTCTGAATGCATTGCACAAAGGTGAAATGCTCAATTCTCATCACGTGCAACATTATGGCTGGTAGTGCATCAAATCTTAATCTTTCAGCCTCGGCTTGTCAAAAGGGCCCTGTAATACATTTTCAGCATGATCAGAAAACACTAGTCGACACCAATGAAAACACAATAGCCAAACATTGCATTATAGCACACCAAGCAGCACTTCGCAATTAATTTTCAGTCAACTATAAATTGTTCTCTCTCCTTTCTGCAAACAATGCCATATGACTGCGCAGTGTCCCCAACTGCACGACCATCAGCCGATTTTAGCAGTGTGAACTTCATAGTCACTAAAGCGGCCACATGCCTGCCCGTGCAATTCCACTGCAAGAATGCTGTGCATTCAGATCATGACAGGCCTGCAACATCATTTTGTTTTTTTTTTCATACTATTCCTCCCACTTAGCAACAGGTAGTTGTCTTCAAAATGTGTTGTTATTTCAATAACAGCTCACACTTTCACTTTGTCATTGTAACTTACAAGGTATTTCTTTTTGTTGCAGATATTCAGTGAACCGCTGCATGTAACTGAGGCAAGGTATCAGCAGATGATACAGCGATCCGAAGAGATGACGAAAACAGCGTTGCAGATAATCGCCGACTTTTGGAGTCGTGATAGAAGTCACGAAGACTCTGAATGCTGAGCAGCAGTGCAGTCGAGTTCTTCTTTTAGGGTTGACAGGCGGGCTAGTTGGTACAATTGTACCCAGTTGTTTCCCTTTCTGATCTTTCTGGCATATAACTTCTTTTCTGAATAAACTGAGTTTCAGTCTGCGCTTGATTGTCTCTTCTCCCGTGTCCCGTTGGTTGGCGCTTCTAATTATTCCATTATGAGTTCTTGTTTAGCAGACAGCGGACAGTTTCGTCTGCAGCACGCATTTGACGAATAAACTACGCATCATGTGTAAATACGTGTTGTACCGATTACGTTAGTTTTTTGTGAACGTGCTTTTAGTTTATCTGCTTTTAAATGTACTTTTAATCGCGTGAATAAATTATTCCACCGATGGAGTGTTGGTGTTTATTTTCTGCTTTGAAGGCGTTAAGCATGGAAAGAATGTATTGGTGCTGAAAACTGTTAAGATAAATTATTTAAAATAGTTCAGAGGGTTTGAGAGTTATTTTTTTCGAATATGTGAAAACAAGGACTGTGTTGTTTTGAAAACCTTTGCTGTTGTGGTAGTTTTTTGTGCACTTTGACCTCTTGCCCTGTGTATTCTCAAGTCCCTTGGATTTAGCATTAATAGGTTATTTGACTCGAAGGTCATGCGATTGAATCCCGGATGCTATTTCTGCATTATATGTAAAAATACTTGTGGCCGATGTACTTAGATTTAGATGCATGTTGGAGAACTCCAGTTTGTTGAAATTCCCAGAGCCATCCTCTACGGCATTCCTCATTATCATGCTGTGGTTTTGAGATGTTAACATCAAGAGTTATTACTAATAAAGTAATTTTACTGCAACAATGAGGCCACCAATGCTATGCTTGCCTCTAGTAAAGCTTCAATAATATTTCTAGTTGTAGTATATGACACGACCAGGTGTGTGTTTACAGGTGTTATGAGCAAAAATGTTTTGCCTAAACTTCTGCCCACCACTGGTCTGATCCATACTTCATTCTAACATGCCGAGCGAATGTGCAATGGCTTATGTGAGCAGACTGCAAGATATTAAATGCGGAGCATTTCTTAGTCGCATGATGTTGCGCTTTGGCGTCGGCGTTGTCCACTCCCCCACTTCCCATACTCTCACCTTGTGCTGGCCCAGGAAGACACCTGCAAAACTGTCGCTCCCTTCACCCTCTCTCGCCTTCCAAGGCTGACGCAGAGAGTGTCTGCTTGTAAAATGACTGCTCAGGCTGCACAACCATTCACTGGCCACCCCGTATCATTAGGCACTGGATCGCACGTTTGGAATTCAGTCAAGGGCATCTTTACTTGTCTTTCGCTCGACGTTGAAGGCAACGATTTTTCTTCTTCATTCAATAAACAAGAACAATAAAGGCAAAGTAATGATTAAGTATTCCCAAGCTATACCCAACTGCGCAACATTCACCTGATACCCCCCAACTCTGCGACCCATTTACTCGCGTTCCGTCGTGGGAGGATGCAAGCGGCAATTTTTTTTCCAGTCATTCAACCGTACCTAGAAATGCGTGGTAATGCTAGGTTTGAGATTAGGTCTTTCGGGACAGGTAGGTGCCCACTTTGGAAGCTGCCATTTGCCGTGTTTTATTCACGATTCCTGTCATCGAAGCACTCATCTGATCAGCTTTCTTTTTTGTCAGATGGGAGAACCTGACTGGGAGAACCTGACTGGGAGAACCTGAGCTCAACAAGCGATCTTAGTTCCTCAGTTAGAATAGTATCCTGACGCCAACTTCTAAGCAGCCTGTGGAAACCTATCTGACACAGCCCACCGGTCGGGCAACAATGACTTTCTTTGGCATTGATTTCGTCTACTAACATGTTATACTTGTGATATAATCCCTGTGATATACTTACTAACTGTTCCTGTTGCAGCTGTGTAAGTTATCCTGCTGCTGAAGACAATATTTACCTGTGACCTCAAAGTAGTTTATTATCTGTTCGTTACCACATTACCTGAGCTTATTAAACAGACTTGCTCATGTACATGTCAACTCTCTTTTGCATGATCAATGTTATCAAAGTTTAGTCGGACATCTGCTGTTAGTGAGAGCACCATTTGCTATGTTATGTGTGAATGAATATCCGAAACTTCTAACTGAAATCAGATACGCTTTGCCATTCAATATGTGAACTAAGTATTGTAAATTGTTAAATGTCTAATTTAATTTTAGTACCACAGATAAGACTTGCGGTCGTCTTCAGGGGCAATGACTGATGCAAGGATTGTTTCTGAACAATTCTGCTGTATTGCACCAGCGCAGTGAGCTTCAGCATGTGCAGTGAGCTTCAGTACATTAGCTTCAAGCCACTGAAATAGAAAATCATTTTGCAACCTGAAGAGTTAGTTCTAATTAAGCTAATGCATCTATGTAAGCCACACCATGTTTGTACCTATTTGGGAAAAATATGCAGCAGTGTTGTATTGGACACAGGCTGCAACCAGATTGGAGGAATACTTCCACCTGTCGTGGGGATAATGCCCTAGACATGACCACCATGTCGGTTCCATACTTAGAAGCTCCTAATCTGTATGACATAACAATACCGTTTGCTTTCTTTTTTTTATCAAATACAATATGCACAGCCTCTATTTAATCACCTGTTTACAAACGACTTTTTCAATCAACTTCTGTAATGCATTTTACCTTATATTATTCTTGAAAAAAATGTTAGACTAACACCCCTCATCACTGCACTGTGCGAACATAAACACAATGCTGAAGCTTTGAGGAGGATTTTTAAAAAATGAGCAAATGTTAATGCAGTGCAGCGTGCAATGAAATGAAAAATGACTGGCGTAACGAAACTAGCAATTCCTTCTGTTTACGAATACAACTGATGAGCGAAGCTCCTTGGAAGTGGGACGCAAACGACTATGCGGCTCATTTTACTGCTCACTTTCATGAAGGCGGTAGGGTGGGGAAACGTATTTAGAACCAGTATAGTTTCACATCTCCGCTCGCGAGCCAGCACACATGCCTGACGCATGAACACAGAAGCGACGCGCATGCTGTGGCGAGCTGAGCCGCGCGAAGAGTAGCGTCCACACGAGCGATCACACTTAAAATAAGTCGCATATACAAAGAAAAAAAAGGAAGAGGTGCTCAAGGTCACTGCCTGCGCACGACGTAATTTTATTACCCGTGCTTCCCTCGCTGCTCAGCTTCCTGTGCTTTTGTCGAGACGAGAAAATAGAATGGGCATTTTTTTTCCAAGTGCTTTCATGTGGACATCATGAGCAACATGCGAGTCACAAAGGATGACTTTTTCGGCAAGAAACACCACAAACTAAGAACGAAAAAGTGAAGGAGCAGGAGAAAAGTGGATAGAAGGGAGAGAAAAGGAAGAAAGAAGAAAAAAACAAAAAATTATACAAGAAAAAAAAGAGACAGAAAGAAAGAAGCAAAGAAATAAAAAGGCCACCCAGCTGAGTTTTTCCTTCGGGCTTCGTATTGCTAGTGCGAAGCTGCCATAATGCCTCTTTATTTTTTCGCTCTAAGCTTCGTGCCATGCAATACCACGTCCGCCCATTTAAACCAAAAAATTTAAACAAAAAAAAATATCCACGACACCTCCTGAAAGCATATACAAAATCAAGTGAAATGCCTATCTACTTTCTTGGATGAGCACCATCCAAGATTTTGCGAGGTCACCAAATCTAATTCGAGGCTCTATAGCGCTGAAGCGTTCTTAGGCGATTTGCGCTCACATTTATATATGCGCGGCTTGAGACCATGAATGAACGGCGCCATTTCTGCCCACAAACGCCATTGGAAAATCACCGCTCAGCTTAAAATAGTTATATTTGTGTAACTTTAAGGCATCTTTGTGCAATATGCCTGCCGTGATAGCTTATAGGGGCTCAAGTTTTCAACTGTTAAGCTCGAGGACACCGTTTCCCTCTTTTACAGTCCCGGCGGCCTCATTTAAATGGTTGCAACTGCAAGAACAGCCTTGTACTGGCACTCGGGTGGACGTTAGAGAGCTACAGGTGGGCCAAAGTTCAATCCCAACTTCCTTTCTTTGTCATATCACGATTGAATGAATGTCTAGCAGGTAACACTTGCCAGAATGCAATTGACCTTTAAAAAAGGTGACCCGGTATTCTAATCAACTATTTTGCAAATAAATAAGCAATATCACGTGTTATTCTTTGGTTCAAGCCTTTTCGTGCCAGCTAGCTCGGATTGCAAATGACTACACTAACGTAAATCAGAAATGAACATGCGACTACCACTTCACTTTTCCTTCCTTTTTTTGTTCTTTGCTTTTGCATTAGTGGTTTTTGTTAGCCATTGCGCTCGTCTTGAATATTTTGCTTTATCCTCATAGGGTAATTTGCACTGGTTTTCAAAGTGTGTGCGACACGATCACATCATACGTACTCCATACCTATGTGATAAAAAAGAAAATGAAATGGCGTAAGATATTCACAAGACGCGCCGCGCCTCCTGGACACCTCTCTTTGTAGTGACACTGTCTCGTGCACCCAGCAGTACTGCATGCGACATTAAAAATGAGGAGGTAAAGAAAATCAAGTCTACATAACAAAAGAATAATCGCAGGTTCCCGTGCAAGAGCAGATCCACCTCCAAAATTTCGATGTACGCGCGGCACCACGTTGCAGTTTGTTTAGCAGGAAAAGATTAAAGCATCAAAAAGTTCAAGCCTTTTCACAGACTTGTAACTACAGTAGATATTTTCGCAATTTTTTCTTTCTCTGATGAACTGCTCACTTTTATTTGGTTAAGCATTAAAAAAGAAGACAGCAATGGGAGATATAATCTTCCTACAGAAATGATTCAGCCTTTTGTTTTTTGAGATACAGTAAGCATGCATATACGTGCATGCGCGAGTGAGCTGTGATTGACAAATTTCGTTCTAGAGAGAAATGCAACTGTGAGCTACAATGAGGCCATTCTACTACTGCTTATGTTCTTTTCTTAGTTTGGTTACAATGCGATGGTGT